CCCTTGATCCCCCCCCCATTCAGGCCATCCTGGGGTTCATGGCGTTCATCTGTGCCGCCGTCTACGCCCTCGTCACCGACCCCCAGCCCTATGCCCCAGTCTCCAAGGGCTTCGCCCTCCCCCTCGGCCCCAACGTCACCGCCGTCACCCCGGGCTTCGCCGGCCCCCTGGACTGCGCGCCCGACAAGTTCGGCAACCCGACGTGCGACAACTTCGCCTACCCTGCCGGCGACCATGCCATCTGGCCGGGCGCGATGACTAACGTCGACGCCTACGCGCCATTCCCCAACGCCATCCTGCTGAACTGGGCGACCATCATCACCCTGGGCCTGGGCAACCTCTGCGCGCTGGACTTCCAGCAGCGGTGCATGGCGGCAAAGAGCCCCCGCGTGGCGCGCGCCGCAAACGTGAGCCGCCACCGCTGTCGCCCATGCGCCGCACAGCCCTGACTTCTAGGTCGCGCCTTGCCTCAGGCAGTGAGGGTGGCTGCCGTCCGCGCCGCATTCACCCATGTCGCCGTGTAGCCTCTGCACCGCTCCTCGCCTTTTGGCCCTGCCTCTGTTGCTGACTGTCTCCCTCTCCGCTTGATTCCAACCTGAAATTCAAACGCAGATTACGGCCGGCTTCCTCCTCCTGGGCCTCTGCGTGCCCTTCGTCCTTATCGCCGGCCATGTCCGCAAGAACTTCGGCCCCGACAGCCCTTTCGCCTCCTTCGCCGCCGACACCTGCAGCGCGCCGCTGGGGCTGCCGTCGTGCGCGGAGTGGGAGAGCGGCGACAAGAACGCCTTCTTCAAGTTCCTGTTCTCGAAATTCCAGCGGGTCCTCGGCGCATGGTGCGCGGCACGAGAGGGGGGAAGGGGCGCCCCCAAGAACGGGGCTGCTGTTGAATTCCAGCCCAGGGTGGGGCGCGGGGCGAGTCGGCCACGGCAGCAACTTATGCAATCTTGGCTGGTCCCTGTGCTGGCGGCACTCAGCGACCCCTTTGCGAACAGCTGCCCTGCCTGCATCTGTGACCACCAGGGTGATGGTGGCCATCATGGCTGCAAGCATGAGCACGTCTACCGGCGCCATCCTCGCAACCTCCACGGTCATGGTGAGCTGCACGCTCATGCAAAGGCACGCACGCAAAAGGCACACACGCGCATGCGGGCGCGCATTCACAGACACACGCACACGCGCGAGCGCGCGCACACACACACACACACACACACACACACACACACACACACACACAAACACACGCGCGTGTGTGTTTGCGTATGTGTGTTTGTGAGAGAGTGCGTGTGTGCTTTGCACGAGTGCATCTGTACGCGCACACACGCACACACAAGCCTGCATGCCGCCGCTCCTAACGCATCATTGATGACAAGCTCACAGGGTTCTCTCACAAGGTGGCACAATCCCCTGTGCCCCCTCTGCACCCACTCAACCCCTTCCCCCCTCCCACCACACTCATTCCGAAACCCAGGCCCACAACCTGTGGCGCAAGGTGCCCAAGTACGGCACCGGCGATGACTCTCTGCTGCTGGTGGCGCGCGCCTTCGTCGTCCCCATGTGCGCCATCGCCTGCGTCGTCGCCGCATTCTCGTACAACCCTGGTGAGCATGATCATGCTGCCTCCACCCTTTGAATACTGGGAGGGCTGTGACCCGCACGTGCTTTACTGGTCAGTAGTTCTGTGCATCCTGCACGCGTTGATTTGGAGAGGCTTCGACGACGCAGGTCCTGCAAACCTGCTGTATGTGACACGTTGAATTGGTGCACACCCTCCTGCCCACCTTGATGAGAAGTCCGCCTTCGATCAACGCGGCACCCCTCTTCATGCAATGCAACTTGCTGCGGCCCGCAGGCTACCTGCTGGTGGTGGCCTTTGACGTGGTGTTCGCCTCCTGCCTGGTGCCGCTGTTCGCCGCCACCTACTGGCACAACATCAGCCCCAACGCCGGGTTCCTCTCATGCCTGTCCGGCGGCCTCACGCGCGTCATCCTCGAGTTCACGCTCCCCAAGGTTGGCATCCCGCCGCCCGCGGGCCTGTACTCCTCGCTCTTGCACTTGTCCTCGTTTGAAGTGCAATCCTTGACCACCCAAACCAACAGGGTCGGGGACAGGTGCAACTCTGTGGCTGAGCGCCCTGGCAGGCCACAGCAACGCAAGAGGTTGCCGGCAGCAGCCACTCGCATCCACGAGCCCCAGCCCCCGCCCACACTCAACTGGGCACCGTCTTACTGCTGATGTTCAAAACCCCAGGACGGCACCCTGATCGCGTTTGGCACGTATGCGCTGCACTACGGCAAGGCGCTGGCCGGCCTGCCGGCGTTCCTGGAGGTCCAGCCGCCTACGGCCGCGCCCACCGCAGGGCTGTGGGAGCCAGAGAAGGATACTTGCGTGCAGGTGAGGGCTGCGTTTGCTGCGGGTTCTGTTGCGCAGACTGATGCGTGTGTATCGCGCATGTGTGTTGCACGTGTGGGTTGGTGGGGGCGCAAGCTGTGCAGTGAAGTGGTGCGGGGGTGATGAGGGTCGGAGGGAGGGAAGGGAGTGGCAGGCTGGCAGCATTGTTGCTGAAACAAAGCTCTGAGGGCGCAGGGATATCCCTCCATGGATGGAGCCAGGGCCCCGGCTGCACAATGCCGCCAAGGCCTCTGTCCAGCTCTTGCTTCTCCACTCGTCCCGGCCCCCCTCCCTGACCGTCCTGCCCCGTCCCCACCCCACCCCGCCGCGCCCCTGCCCCAGACGCCCATGCGTGACCTGACCGGACTGGATTCGCTGGTGTCTCCCTGCGTGTGCCTGGTGGTGCTGCTGCTGGTGCAGCTGATCGAGCGCGGCTTCAGCGGCATGGGCGACCGCGACATCCTCTTCTTCCTGCCAAAGAGGTGCGGCTTGTGTGGCGCGCGCAGGCGTCTATACGTGCGTGAGCGCCCGCGTTTCTAATGTGTTGTATCAATGTGAATCATAGCACTCGGAACCAAGTCAGGAAAGTCGATGTGAATGCAAGCGCTTGTGTTGCAATCCCAGCTCCTGACGCTCGCGTCGCCCACTCCCTGCCCTCCCGCGGTTGCCTGCCTCTTTGGCAGGTGGCGCTCGCCCATCGGCGTGATGTACCCCCGGGAGGAGGACTACACGGTGTACGATGACAACGCCGCGGCCGCCGCCCTCGCCGCTGCGCAGCCCGTCGGCGGCGGGTTTGGCGCCGCCTGGAAGGACCCAAACGCGCCGATAGGCGGCGTTGTGGCCGGCCCGGGGGTTGGGGATGACACTGCGCACGGCGGGAAGGTTTGATGTTGCCTTCTACGTGTCTTGCGCCGCCTTGCGCGCGCGTGTGCGTGTATGTGTGCGTGTGCGCAGTTCTGTGCAGGCCCTGTGTTGCTCGTGCTGCTGGGCCAGCGCAACACTCTTGACTGCAGGTGCAGCACCTTGAGATGATCTCCAACTTGGAAATGACCTGCGAGTCCGCCGACTCTTATTCTTCACCGCGGTTTATGCTTCCTTCTTGCATGGGCGCCGCGGCGTCGCTGCCACCCTTGCATGATTGGGTGGACCCATTGCCGCTGGCGCCGACTTGCAGGGCGCACGGGTGCCTGTACCTGCCCGCGGCTGCCGGTGTGCCATAGCACCGAATGCCTGCATACATTGCACTGTGCTTTGCGCCACCTTGTACCTTTTAATGCTCAATCGTCCGCGAGGCGCGGGTTGAAGTGTGCCCGCGTGTGCCATCGTGTGCCATCAATTCCCCTTGCAGCTGCCATATCCAGTGTGCACGTCTGACAGCGGCCTACCTTTCCTTGATGCGACCTGCTACCGCATGTGCTGCCTTGAATATTCCTCATCTATCCTGTAAAGTTCTTTCAAAGGAGCTCAAGCATCCATTGTGTATTTGGCGCGCTCTTTGACCAGGGGTTGACCTCGCCTGACCAGGAAGCGAAACAAGTGCCAACAAACGAGGCTACGAACAGGGGGTGCAGCCACAACAGCGCCTAAAAAGTTGGTCAGAGGCATGAACGCGCAGTGTGTGCAGCCCCAGCAACAAGTGGAGAGACCGAGAGGGCACCATGTGATCTACTTGTTCCGTGTTCTCAGCTTGCAAGTGCCTCTTGACGCATAAAATCATATCAAATATCTTTTCATATTGCTTTGTGGTAGTCACGCCGCGTGAGCCAGTAGGGCATGGCGCTGGCCACCGCGAAGCCCACAAGGGGCGCTGTCGTCCGCTGCCACCCCGGCCAAGAGCACCATCACCACCAACTGCAGCATCATCAAGCGCACACGGCGCCGTCCGGCCCCGCCCCGCGGCGCCGGGCGCGTGCGCGTGCGCCGCTGCTGCAAGATGCCGAGCGCGCCGTGCAGCAGCACGCGGCTCCTGCCGCGATCCTCTCAATCGGCCCAAAAGCGCGCAGTGGCCTGTCGGCTGGGTTGCGCGTGGCCGCGCGGCGCGCTCTTCGCGGACGGCAAGCCCTGCATACCTTGACCAACCTCCTGCTAGCAGCGTCCGTACTCCCGGCGATCGCACTTGCGCTGCAGCCCCTGCTGTCGCTGACGTCGGCGCCAGCAGCCGCGGCGGCAGGGACAATCGTGCAGCTGCCACCACCGCAAGCATGGCAGGCGAGCAGGCATGGCATTCTACATGCAACCAAGGCGTCAATCTCCAGGAGCGCTGTTTTGGCGGGAAGCTTGGTTGTTGGCGCACGCTCGCCTGTGCTTGAAGGCCAGGCAGGCTTGGCCTTGGCACCATTCATTCATTCATGAATTCATTCGTCGTGGCAACGCATGTCATCCTGCAGGTACCCCTGCGAGACATGTTCAGCTTTACTGTGCTGCTGTCAGTGTTTATCGGCGTCGAGCCTGGGGCGGCGGCGGCGTCCGCAGTGTCAGCCGCAGGCGCGGCTTTAGCAATGGTGCGCTTTCGGGGTGGTGCCGGCTCCACTGCTCGCTGTATGCTTTGAAGCAACTGCATAGTTGCTACATGAGGTGCTTGAGCAGCGCGTTTGTTAGTATGTGGGCCCCGTGTTGCACTGAGGATACCTTCAACCTGGATGCCTCCTGCTTGCACTCGCTTGAAGTTTTCTCAGGGCAGTGTGGCGCTGGAGGGCAGCTGCACTGCGGGGCTGCTCGGGGCCGCTGCCGCTGTCGTGTTGGTGGCATCTGGGCTGGCAGCAGTGACAACGGCACAAGCACAGCAGCAGCGGCGGCGGCAGCAGCAACACCAGCAGCAGCAGGCGCGACGAGGGCAGCAGCAGCAGCAGCAGCAGCAGCAGCAGCAGCAGCGACGAGAGCAGCAGCAAGTGGCACTGCAGGGGGTGACATGTCACGCAGGCCGGGCTATGCAACATGTTCAGCGGGCGCTTGGCCTGCTAGGCGGCGGGCTATTGCTGCAGGTGAGGGCGGAACACACTTCCAGGCACTGGTTTGTAAGAAAGTTGACGCGCGCAAGCGTTGCCGCTGCTGCCGCTGCTGCTGCTGCCGCTGCCGCTGCTGCCGCTGCCGCTGCTGCTGCTGACGCTGCCGCTGCTGCTGCTGCCGCTGCTGCTGCTGCTGCTGCTGCTGCTGCTGCTGCTGCTGCTGCTGCTGCTGCTGCTGCTGCTGCTGCTGCTGCTGCTGCTGCTGCTGCTACAACAAGTGCTGGGAATGCTGCTGGTGCGCATGGACATGTGATCACCTCGATTCCTTTTTTTCACTGTCTGCCGTGCGCCCAGTTCCTCAGCACGCTCCCGCCGGGCAGCTGTGCACACGCAAAGTGGCTGCCGCCTGTTGCTGCTGGCGCCAGTGCGACGCTGCTGGTCGGCCTGCATATACAGCAGTCGGGCAGCGCATGGGTCAGGCTGGTCTGGGATGACTGGCCAGCCTGGGCGGCCACCCTGCTTCTCATCCTGCAGCCGCTACGCCAGCTGGTGAGCAAAGCACGACTGGGTGCATGCGTTGAAGCCTGCATGCTTACTTGCCCGGACTGCTGGCATACTTTCTCTGAGTTGCCCCTGTATGTTTTTAAGCCACTCTGCCTCTTATGCTCCCCGCTATTTATCCCGGTATTTATCCGATGATGCAGGTGGAGACGTCCCTCTCTCCGGCGACGCTGCTGCCTGCCGTGAGCTGCCGCGAGCAGCTGCTGCTGGTGCTGGCCAGCGGCCTCATGGTGCCGCGCGCGCTGCTGATGGGGGAGCTGATGTGGTTCACCGGCACCTGCAGTGGCGCACTGCTGGCGGTTGGGCAGCTGCTTGTGGTGGCAGCCCATGTGCTGGGGCGCGGCCTGCCGCCGCCAGGCGAGACGGCGGCCGCGGCGGGCGGGCTGGTGGCGGCGCTGGGCCTGGCGCTGTGCGTGCTGCGGGCCGGGTGGGGGTCCATCCTGGCCCGACGGCCATACCCTGAGCAGCATGCAAAGGGTTGATATGGCGGCATCCTATATGCCACGCAGCATTAGCCGTTTGTTGCGACCATCGAGTAAGACTACATAATCCCATGCACCTGTGACATTCCTTCCGTGGCAACGTCATGCTTGTCTGCTTTGATCCTCGTGTGCTCCTGCCTTGAGTATAGGGCCGAACTGTCCTGAGATTTCCACACAGCAAGACTAATACCACACCTCAAGAAGGCAAGGAACTCAAGCTTATAATTCAGGCTGAGTGTGCAGTCCCAGAAAGTGCTCAAAAAAAGTTTGGTCGGTGCTGTTTTTCGAGCCAGCAGGTCTCATTGATCATCGCTAGTGGTGGAGGCAGTGCACTTGCAAACTACAGGAAATTTCCAAGGTAACCCACCACGCTTCAGTTTGAAACACATCAGCATGGCAGCATCCAGGAACCTCAGCAGTGCAAGCAGCTTGAGGACCAGCCTGTCCGTGTGGGTGCGGCAACTGGGTCTTGCCTGCGCAGGCAGGGCCACTGGACCTGGAGTTGCGCAGGCGCCATGCGCACGTTGTCAAGGGATGCATAAACCTTGTATCAACATCATCTGGGCCGCGACAAACCGCAGCGCAGCGATACGTTCCAAATGTTGCTGAATGACCTCCTGCCTGAAGCCCATGTCGAATTGCGTTATTTGAGTCACCAGGGTTACAACGGACCATTCCACCGCTTAAAGAGTTGAACATTGCATGCTTTCCATCACAATTTCAAAAAGCGACCTTCTATATCACTTGACAACGTGCCCTTTCATTCACTAGACATCGTCGCGATCGCTGCACGACGCCACTGAACCTGCGCCTTTGATACTATCAGCAACAATGGCCTCCACCATGATGAAGATGAGGACTGCGCCTATCACGGGCTGCCGCGCAGGTTGGTCGGCTGGCAAGCACACCGGGCGGCCGCTGCTGGGTGCGGAACTGCTGCATGTGCAGCACTCATGTGCGACCCTCTGCGCTCCCGCACCCACACACATGCCCCTTACCATCTGGAACCTCATACCTCCTTC